TGTAATTATATAAAATATTGTTATTATCATTATTAAAAAAAAAAAAAGGTAGAAGTGTCTGAATGTGACGTTATAGCGTTTGACCACCAACTAGACCAAAATATCTGTTTTAAATAGATGTGCCTTTGTTGCTTGCTTGATATTTATTGTACATCGTATATAAAATTTAATCTGAACATGGTGGGGCTTTTCCATTTTGATTATTGTGTTTTTTATGTTGAAAGAAATGGTCAAATATTTGTACACTGCCTAATGAAATTGTTGGCTTAGCTGGGAGTTGAACTTGAATTTTGTACAAATTCACCTGTTGTTTTTAAATATACATCTCTAGAAAATAAATGAATGCATTCAAGATGGGAGCTGTCTTCTATCGTGTAGCCTATCTTTCTGTGTTCTTCAAATGCATCATTGAAACAGGATCACTAAACCTATATGTAAACAACTACACATATTCCTGCTTGTACTGACTGGCTGTTCCAATTCTCTTTTGTTTCTACCTAAGCTTAATACAGCCTCTTTCGTCCTTTTATTCCGTTTTTTTCCACCAAGAGCAACGGTCTTTTCTTTCCATTGTCTTTTTTTTTTGTTCCAAAACAATAATTCCCGTAAACACAACTGAGACTAAACTAGTTTAATTTTCGTCCAGCAGAGGGCGATAGAGCCAACACTACATACGGGGAATGTGGACAACCTTCCCTGAAATTACTCATGCATTCATGTTTGTTTTGATAGACGTTGTGCTCACGAATCACGACACATTTGTTTGTCAATCTATCGACTGATAGACATATAATGTTGATATCCATTTGATATCAGTCGGGCTCTGATTATATCTTTACAATACTCTGTCCAATGCCAATATCATTCTTTTCCTCATTTGACATAATCAAAAAGGCTCCTAAATAATCACAAAATATATTTGAATAGATATGAGAAGTTTTAATAGTTATTTTTGATACTAATCATGATACAAATTGACTAAAACAATGGATCTATATGCTGTCTGCGCCCAGTAACACAAAACAAAGCGCTCTGGCGGACGGATATAGCTGAGCTGCACTGCGGCCCTATATGAACGTGAACTCGACATCATCACCCGCAGATCTGTTCTTCTTCCCTCTGATTTTTTGTTGTTATCCGAGCGATTGTGCTATTCGCCGAAATGGCCGTGTGATCTGCAGCCTGTAGACAGCGCGCAAACTCCTCAGTGCATCAACATAGTGCACTGCCTCAGTACATTTATTGCAAAATGGCGTAAGTATACATTTAATTGTTTTTGTCTTACAGTGTCTTGTCGATTAGACAGCCGGCGAGGCGGGAGTTGTACCATTGAAGTTATCATCCTTATGACCATAAATGTTTTGTACTATTTCTTGTGTGCCTTACAGATATATAGGGGATTTATTATTTTTAATAGATTTAGGAAAATGTTTTCCGTGCGAATAATGTCATGACAACCGTCTCGAGCTTAGCGCGCCATGTGTCTGCCCGGCAGAGACAACATCAGTCGATGGATTTGTAGTCATGTCTGTTTTAAAATGTACCATAACGTCTCTATTGTCTATAGAGGATGCATTTCTAATAAACATGATAATGTTTTACTCAAATTAACACGAGTTGAGGCAGTTTATTTGACTTTTCTTTGTCGTCGCGTCTTCTCTATAAAATGGCGCACGTTCCTGAAAAGGGAGCGGCTAGCCCTGAAATGGCGGTGTCTTTTTCGACTTTAGTAACGTTACAAAAGTAGGGCATCCCAGCGTCTTTGAACAAAAATTACATATTCAGTTAATTTTAATATTTTTGAAAACCAGTGAGCTTTTGCCTCAGATAAATTGGAGTTGAGCGTTTATAAATAGAACCTAGTCTGCTGACTGTAAGTGATAAAAAGCGTCACGTGGTAGATGTCCATATAGGTGTAGGGTGTGGGCAGATGATGTCATTGTGCATCAGTAATAACTGAGTATTTTTTCCCCTTAAAAGCTTTCATATTTGATTGTTTACAATTATCATTTAAATTTGCTTTAATTATTTAAAAGATTAACTACTTTTCATCTCTTTTTGCAGGTCCCTTGTGGCAACTCTGAACTTTGCTGTACCTGACAGCACGAAATTATTCGAATTCTCAGTAGAAGACTCTCTGATTCCACTTGAAATAGACAGCCATGTCTTTGATGAGCTCACGGTTTGGCCCGGACGATATGGAAGTCCTTCTTTGGGACCCATCATCACCGATGGCTGACCCTCTTGGGTCCTTCCTAGATAAAGATGAGGAGGTTCTTCCTCTCGGAGGCGCTGAATCGCCCCTTTCATCTTTCTCTTCCTCTCCACTTCCCTCTCTCTCCCCACCCTGCACTCCTCCCTTCCCTCAGAGGGGGGAGAAGGCTGGGCACAATCAGCTGTCCCTGTCGTGGTTTCCCTCAGATGAGCTGTGCCTAGATAATGGTGGCGCAGACAGTGGTAATGGTAAGGTGTTGCAATGTATTCAGAATATACCTTCAGTGCTCTCGTTTAAGCATTCAGTTGTTTAATGTTTTTTTGTTTCAGATCATTCATTCAGTGAAATGGATTGGATGACAGAGCGAATTGATCTGAGTGAGTTTGATCTGGAGTCTTTGATTGGCTCCTATGATTCTGAGGATCCACCCAGTTCTCCTGAGGAACTCATTGCTTCTCTGGAGTCACAGATAGACCTGGAGTCCCAGCCTGTAGCTTCTCACCGTAACCCTTCACCCTCTCCCCCAGCGACTGTTCTTGAAATTGATCAACTTTCCAGCCTTTCATTCACTTTGAATACTCCAGTTTCTACTCCATTTGTTCCCTCAACACCCTGTGAAGTGTCAGATTCCTCCTCTGTAGTCCCTGAGCCCCAGACCGAGCTCGATATAAAGTCTGAACCGGCCTCCCCAGTCCCCTCACCTTCCATCCTTCCACCCGAGTCCCCTACTGACACTCTTGAGCTTGGTTGCGAGGTGGACATAGCTGAAGTTCAGAGTCCAACCCCCGTTGAGATGCAGGTGCCCAAAATTGTCCTGTCCCTCTCTCCAAACCACATAGTTCTTGTCCTTGCTCCCAAAGAGGAGGCTAATGTGATGGCGACCCATCCAGGTAAGGTGGTTGTGGATAATTCCCCAAGGCCAGCCTCTCCCGACCCACAAACCCCAGCCTCTCCCCAGTCTCGATCTTACAGGGTAAAGCCATACCCTACACCTGATTCTAAGCCCACCCAAAGTCAGCAGTCAGAGTCACCTGCCCTCACAGGAACAGTGAAGTCAGCCAGTGGCTCAAAGGTTGTGGTCGAGAAGAAGCTGAAGAAAATGGAGCAGAACAAGACTGCGGCGACCCGCTACCGACAGAAGAAGCGTGCAGAGCAAGATGTCCTCCAGTCAGAGTCTGCAGCTCTAGAGGAGAGGAATCAAGAGCTGGTGGAGAAAGCAGAATCACTCACTAAAGAGATTCATTATCTGAAAGAGCTAATTGATGAAGTCAGGAGGGCAAGAGAGAGTAGGAATATGAGGTCATAGAAAGAAATGGACATAGAGGCTTGAAGCTGAGAGAAATGGACTGTTTCAGCATAGCCCGAAGTGCAGAATAGTAGGGATGTTGGTCCTAAAAGTATGTATTTCTTGAAGGGTTGAATAAATAACTGTTTTGATTCATCCCCAGTGTCTTAGTAGAAACAGTTTCGTTTTAGCATGACTGCTATCGGTAAAGCCTGATATACTTTTACAAGTGTATTTTTTTTTTTAATCTTGTGCATCTTTATTGTATGCACAGTATTATATATAGCAGTGCATTGTGTATTGTTGATTTTGTCCGTCTTGACATTTCTTAATTGAAATTGTGCCGTGTAAATACTCACAATTTAAACTTTCCTACTGTCTTTATTCATAGAAATGGTATGGTGTGCACTTATTAGATTATGTATGGAACTTCTATAGGCATTTCACCGCTTGCCAACTATCTTGAAAGTTATTTGTGAAATAAACATTTAAAAAGACATTTGTATGCGTTTCATGTGTCCTTTCATGATGAAACTGGAGCAGAAATTAGCTATAGTAGTTTATAAAATGTTGTAGACAACTATTCACCATCTCTATAGGTTGGACATGTGAAGGATTTTTTGGGGATGTAGACTGAAGGTAGTAAATATATTTGGTCCAAGGCAATTTCCACTATACTAATGGCATAAATCAGTGTTCCATGACCAAGGACAACTGTCTATTGCTGGCAGAAAATAAAGGGTTTTGGTTAAGAATTTCATTTCAAAGGTTTTCACAAATCTAGAAATTTCAAACTTATAGTTGTATTTGACATGAAAAGCACCACTCAGTATGGCAATTTCACTGTAAAGTTCTTTATTAATATGAAGTGAAAAGCATTCAAAAGCTAAATTCTTCAGTCATTTGAGTGTCTTCAGTTGAACCACTTTTGAGGCTAAAATGTTTGCCCAAACACTTGGGAATTCATTGCATATTACCATGTGCCAAAAAATTGGCAGACATGATCAATATTATGCAGTAGTAACAGCCATGCCCTGAATGCTCAACACACATTGTTAAATACGTGTTTAGGTAGAATACAATGTTGATATCACAGTCGTAAGTATCATGTCCTCCATATTAGTTACCAATCATATCAAAAAGAAACCCTGAATGTTCTTAAGGTGCTCAATTGCACATTCAGTTCAGTCTATAGAACAACTGTATACTTGAGAATCCAGCTCTATTTCAGGTGCACATAATCCCATGTAGTAGACTTTATGACAATACAGTGAGTATATTCAAACTACATGTTAATAACTACGATTACAACTTAGTAAAATGCAGTTTTACTAAATATTATTTGACATTGTTTGAATGTGCATGAAAAACTACCAGGTTGTATAAATACTGTACAATACCGGCCATGAGAGTCCTGCCATACAGTGGGGCAATGGATAGAATCCTTTAGGCCATTTAGTCGGTTTGTTGCCACCATGCGTTTTACATAACACTAAATAATCATCATTGAAACCAGTGCATGCATTTGGCAAGAGTATCAATATTTGAGTATTGAGAATTATTGTTATTTGTGGTATCAGTAGCTCACAGGATCAGAATGAAACAAGTTAAAAAAATATTATGTCAGGAAGTGCTACATGCTTCTAGCAAAGGTGAATGTCCAGTGAAAGTCCAGTGACGAATTCTTCAGGAGTCAGAAATCTAGTTTGTACCTCTATGTATGCTGAAGAATGTTAACGTAAGTAGAACATACTGACCATTAAGTTAAAAAGCAGTGGAATGTCCAGTTCAAATTCAGTTTACATTCTGTTAATATGACTTTGGCAAAACAGTGTGAATGGCCTTATGGGTAATAAACAATTGGATAACTTTTACATTCCTCTAAGATTTGCATGTTGTCACCTTATTATTCACTGCAGAATGCATCTTCCATTCGTTTCCTCCTCATCTAATTCTTGGTTCACTGTTCAAATTCAGTTTACATTCTGTTAATATGACTTTGGCAAAACAGTGTGAATGGCCTTATGGGTAATAAACAATTGGATAACTTTTACATTCCTCTAAGATTTGCATGTTGTCACATTATTCACTGCAGAATGCATCTTCCACTCGTTTCCTCCTCATCTAATTCTTGGTTCACTGTAGAACAAGGATGCAATTATTGGGTTTATATATACATGAATAATATTCACATGAACAAATTAATATGTAACCCGATGTGAAAGCCATTATTATAAAATTATGGAATCTAAAACACTTACATTTGACTGGTAAGAAAGGTTTCTCTCCATTCTCTGCTACCATCTCCTCTATTTTCCGCAAGAGTTCAGTCACCTGTGACCTGTCCTTGCTGGCTTTGGTACAGTCCAGAACATGGTAACAGTTCCAGCAATGCTGCATCAGTTTCAGCAGCTCGCCTCCATCCCGCTGGATGTGATCCTCAATTGATGTGCCATACAGCCAGTCTCCACATGAAAACAGCACCAGTGTGTGCTGACAAGCCTCCTCGCCAAACATTTCCAAGTGGCTCTTAAGGGCCTGTCTCTTTTTGGGAGTGAGGGTGGAGACTACGGGGATGACCAATAAGAGTGCATGTGGACCAGGATGTAGAAGCCCTGCCCCTAGTTTGATTTCTTTTCGTATGTTGCTTGGTGTGCGCTGGACGGAGGACCAATCCCAGCCTGGTGTGTCGACAACCGTGAGGTGCCGACCAAAGAACCAGCCTTGATTCTCCTGCACCATCTCCTCCACTTTCTGCAAAAGCTCTGCAACCTGAGCACTTTTGTCCGAGCAGGTGTTATCCAAGGCATGGTACCTACAGCCACACCTCTCCACCAGCCTCTGCAGCGCTGCCCCGCCATCCACAATAAATTTCTCCACACCCATGTCTTGTGGCAACTGGTCCGCACAGGTGAACAAAACCATTGTGTGCCTCCATATCCCTGCTCCCAGTGCCCGAACTCGGGCCCAAAGACCTTGCCAGTGGTGTTCAGTGAACGGAACTCCAATGGGAACCACCAGCAGCAGGGCATGAGGACAAGGAGAACATTGATCAGTGATGGACTGCTGATTCTCTGAGTCCGACTCGTCAGTTGTACCTTCAGTTTCCAGCTTCCATCCAGGGGTGTCAATGATTAGTAGCCGCCAGGTGAGTATGTCTACCCAGTGTTGTTGGTCTGTTTGGGAATGGTTGGGAGGGTTTTTCTCCTGGCTCAAGATGGTATTCAGAGTTGAGGTCTTACCGGAGCCCTGGAACCCCAGCAACAGGAGGCGTCGGGCAGGTAGAGAAGAGTCCTCTGCTTTCGAGAAACAGAGATGAAACAGAAAATGCTATGGCGAGTGATTGAAACTACTTGCAGTTTAATCCATACTGATCACATCCACAACACCGACACCATCTACACCAGGGGTAGGCAACGTCGGTCCTGGAGTGCCAATGTCCTGCAGAGTTTAGCTCTAACCCTAATCAAACACACCTGAACAAGCTAATTAAGGTCTTCAGGATTACTAAGGCTACAGGCAGGTGAGGTTTTTTTCAGGGTTGGAGCTTAACTCTGCAGGACATCTGCACTTCCAGGTGTGCCTACCCCTGATCTACACCGACATTCTGAGCAACTCTGGAGCATTTACAACAACATCCCTGTAACCTGCTGATCAGGTTTATATACTACAGTGATGATTCCATAGTATATAAATTGAAATTGTAGTCCTGGACCACATAGCCTTAATCATAAGCAGTCCTTTGATCAGAAAATAACACTTACATTTGATGGGTAAGAAAGGTTCCTGTCCATTCTCTGCTACCAGATCCTCTATTTTCTGCATGAGTTCAGTCATCTATGCCCTGTCCCCGTTAGCTTTGGTACAGTTCAGCACATGATAACAGTTCCAGCAATGCTGCATCAACCCTAACCATTATCCTTATGATCTCATTCTAATTCTGATCCAGGATCAGAATGAATGACTTTTGTGTGGACATCTGCCTTTGTATGATAGCAAACTGATCTAGATACAGCCAAAACTCTCCAGTCTGCATTAGAAAGCCCCTGAGACACAGGAAGCGCATGCAATGCAGAAGGGAAGTGAGTCAGCTGTGTGTGTGTAGGTGGGATTTGAAAGTGAATGTCTGTCTGACAAACTAGTAAGATGAATTGAAGTAAAAGTTTAATGTTACTTACCAGCATTTAAATCGGAAGAGACTGTAGCCATCTTGTGTCTAGCTGGAGCATTGTCTCCTTACCTCGCTCTCTTTCTCCCCCTTTTGCTCTCTCTCTCTCTCTTGCTGTTTAGTCTCAGCAGCCAGTTGCCTGTGCTCAAAACATGTCTTTCTGCCCTCTCATCTCCCTCCTAATCTCTTTCCCTCCCTCTTCAACTATTTTTTTTATTATACCCATGCAACCTTTCACTCTGCTTCTTTTTCACTCTCTTTCTTTCTTGAAATTATACAAGCAGGGACAAACAGCAGGAGGGAGCTGGGAGAAAGAGGCAAGTAGAGAAAAGTGGGATGCAAGGAGGGAAGTGAGTACATAAATATATGGCTTGTGATTGTAATCTTATGAGAGTGAATGGGCTGAGTTTGACAAATATTTTACAGTAAGCAGCCTCCCACAATTCTTGGGTAGTAAATACATAGTAATTTTGGGGGTGGAGCAAAACCCCCAAGGGGGTGGGGGTTCATTCACAAACTGGTCCAGCTGGGGCTCAACACTTCGCTGTGCATTTCCCCCAGACTCCACCCACACACGAGTGCGCAGACTCGTTCTTCAGAAGAACACCCACCCCTTAAAGCCCCCATGCAAAAAGAACACAAAACACAGGAACAGAACATATTTGACTTAAATCACACCTGACAGCATAACACACTTTTTCAGACTTGCTACAGTATTTTATTAAGTGAAAACTAATCTTGTTTAATGTTTTTGATTCTTGTGCACCCCTCAGTTATTAATATATAAAAATATATTTGTAGTATATTCAAATTTAAAACAACTTCAAACATTTTGCACCTTTAATCATATATTTGTATGTTGACTTTTGTTATGCACTTATTTACAGCAATCGATTTATACATTTATAATAAACTATAAAGCATGTTGTACTTGAACAGTCTCCACTACAGTTTGCTGTGCTGCATGGGAGTGCTCGTCACTCACAGAAAGGAGTGTGAATGTATGGTTCCCTCTCAGTGCATGGACGCAGCTCTGGCCCCGTTGCGGCTCCAGGGCGTCCGAATTTTGAACTACCTGGACGATTGGCTAATACTAGCTCAATCTCAGGATCAGGCACGGATACATCGAGATCCGGTACGCGATCATTTGAGGAGCTTAGGGCTACGGACGAACCTTCAAAAGAGTGTCCTGCTGCCGTGTCGGCAAACGACCTTTTTGGGGGTGGACTTGGACTCAATGTGATGTAATCATACTAGGGAACTGGCACTTTTTCACAAAGACACAAAGAGCAGGGAAAGACTTGCCAAAACCAGTGAAGAGACTCATTGTGAGGCTGACGTCTCTTTACAGGGAGTCTTCAGGTGGTTCTCGTTCTGAAAGCAATATAGCGAAGGAAAAACACAGGAGAAATGGTTAAGTGATGCTCCATCACATTGCAGTCCTGTGGCATCACTGCTCAGTCTGTTCCTTCAACACAGTACTTCTTTAGTAGCTAAGACGTTTAAGTATAAAATACAGTAATAATGTACAGGTTTACTGTGATATATATATAATATAGTGGTATATAATAAATTTTTTGGAAATTTAGCCTAGCATTATTCTGAAATGAAAACTGCTCGTCTATTTCAAACTTTTCATTCTCACTTAGGTCCATCTGCAACCTTTTCAATATATCCACATCTATTAAATAACTCCCCACCAGCAAAATCACTTTTAAAAGCCTTAATTACACAACGATGGATTAAACTGCATGAAGAGAATGAATAACATCCCGTAAATCTACTAATTAAGTGAGGAATAATCTAATAATAATCTGTTTTAATGTACAGGGTAATTTGAGTAGCTGTGCTGATAATATACTATTTTGTTCTATAAATGTCTTACCTTTTAAAAGTTCATCACAGCGGTCTCTTCTGCTGCATCTCTACGGCGCTGATAGTATGAGCGCTAACTTCGGGGAACTATTGAGCGGCTCCACGATCCGCCATTGCTGTAAAAAACTGGTCCATTGGAGTGAACGGAGTTGTCGCAATTCTCTCTCTCTATGGCTCTGGTATGACCTAAACCCAGCAGCACTGAAACTCTAGAGCAAGGGACACCAAAACAAAACTATAAAGTGTCATAAATTAAAACAGAAAAAGCATTTTTATATTATACAGCAGTCTGGTGAGTATGAAATAAGATAAATAAAGCAATATTTATATAATAACAAAATTGTAAAATTATTAGAATAAATAAAAACAATTAAACATAAAATTACACAAATTTGAAACGCTTTACAAGTTGTAAAGTCTAGGATTCTGTGTTTTAAGGGTTTCATTACACATTATGATCTGTGTGACAAAAAGTAGTGCACAAAGGAAGCTCTTGCTTTGTGAATATAAAATTTAGCCAAAAATTGTTAGAACATTAAAAACTCTGGACTGTTGTCGAGCATTGAATCTGTTAAATTACTTGGGCCGATAATAAAATGTCAAAAGCCTAACGGCACTATACAAAGGCGACTTGAGAGTGAACCGTTTTGAGCCAGTGAGAAAACCATCTCTTTAAATAAGGCATTAACAAAGAGTCTTGTTAGAGATGCTATATCCAATTTCATTTAAACTTTGTTTTAGATATCTATGTGAAATGCTAGAAACATATTTAATAAAACATATGGAGCATACTTTTTTTTTGTTAACATCCATGCATAAAGCATTTATTTCTCTCAATTATCTGTATATTATCTTGCTTATTGATCACTTTTTCAAAGAAATTAAGAACCTAAAACCAGAAACACTAGATGGCATCAAACCTCCACTGTGCTTCATCCTGGATCCAGCCAGCAGTCTTCTAGAGAAGATCTACTGAATGAGATATATATCTTATTATGGCGTATACAGAGGAAATTAGTTATAATAGGATTCTGAGTATCTGCACATATAGGGATACTTGGAAATGAAATAGCTGATGATTTGGCTAAAAATGTCAAGTAAAAGAAGAAGAAAAAGGAAAGAAATAGGCTAAATATTAATGTACCTTTAGGTAAAGAAGAAGTAAAATCAATCATTAAAAAGAATATTACAAAAGAGTGGCAAGGAATCTGGAATATAGATATAAAGGGAAGATATTTGAATAAAATGAAGAAACAGACACTAAAAAAAAACTATGTGGGGGAGGAATAGGAAGGAAGAGGGCTTAATTACTAAGACTGGGCCATTCCAGAGAAGAATAATAGCAAGATTAAGATTAGGACATTCATCTTTAAATGGAAATTTACATAAAATCAGGAAACATCCTTCTGGATTATGTAGATTTTGTGGTGAAATTGAAACAGTTGAGCATATTTTATTACAGTGTAGGGCATATAGTAAAGAGAGAGCGATGCTGGAAACAAAGATACAATCAGAAGGTGCAAATAATATGACATTAAAACTATGTAACCAAAGAAACGGGGCGGGTCCCAACATTTAGGTGTGTGCAGAGGAAAAAAAGGTCAGAAGAAGCAATTACGGATGTGAGTTGCGCATGACTGAACAGCTGTTAACCGTAACAGTTATACTAACGAGCAACTGAATGTTGCTGTCGAGCAAATGCTAAGACTGGAGTTACAACAACTTGTATGACTTATGTGTTTTCATTTCATTGACTTTTCCCGGGATTCGGAGTGAGTCGCGGGAAGAAAAAGGAGGCTGCTCGGAGATCGTGAGTGTGCTGCGCCATCAGGCTGGATTTACCGGGGAAAACCCTCCACATCAGCGCCTTTCGGGGAACACATAAGTTTACACTGCCATCGAATAACATTGCAGGATTCGACTCGAGTAAGATGTTTCCTTCTTCCATCAGAAACCTACGGATTAAGGGGTAAAAGCAAAGAAGTTTGAACGATCGGGAGAGATTGCATTGAGACACTTGTTACACATTTGAACTGTTTTACAAGTGGACTGCGTTGAATTTAAGAGAATTGAAAATACAGCCTGCACAGCCTAATTCAGCAGCCTGTGAGTTTTGAAAATTGTTTTTTTAAGGAAATGCAGGAATGTTAATTTGAATTAAAGAGATTTTTTGTTGTTTTTGTTTTCTGAAATGTTCTCTTGGAGTGTTTATTCCGAACTGTGAAAAAACGCTGAACTAGCCCTAATTGTGTATACACCGTTTACTTAAAAGGGCCCAAGGGTTGTATCTTTGATACATTTGTCATTATTTTCTCAGTTTATAATTGTTTATTCAGTGTTTATTTTATCTTACTGATTTTCCAGATTTCAGGTTAAGATGACTAAAACTTTCTTTTAATTTTTGATTTCCAGAAATTAAATAGTTGATTATGAACCAGTCAACTTTGTGAATATTCGTCTGCTTGTTACTGCTGGTAATTTGACTTTAGGCGATTGTTGGTTCTGGGGTAGGGGCGTTCCCTTCTATGCTGCAGGACATTGTGAGGTTGGGGAAATATTTGATGGTGTAGGGCTTTCTCATATGTGCTGTAAACTCCAGGTTAGGCCCGTGACAATATAAAGCCTGGAGCCCTCCTCATTTTAGCCCAAATATATTAATCAGAATAGTACGGAGCGTATTGAATTTGGAGGCAAGGACAAAGATCCTTTGTAACCATTCATCCAGAGCCACAGGATATTTAACCCCTATCAAGACGGGCATAAGTACCCGTTACAATTAGGTAATAGAAAATTCAAAAGAATGATACCAAGTTATCTAATAGACATGGGAATCTTCATGAGAATATAAGGAATAATTGTATTTATTTATTTTTTTATATATAAAGCCTTCTCATTGAGCGCGTTTACATGCACGTTCTTAACTTAAGCTTGTTTCCCGATATGTTGCAAACTTAATTTAACATCACAACTGACAAATGTATGGAATACTCGGAGCCAGATACGCAAATGATTATATTTTGACGTCACTACAGGGAAATAACCTGATTTATTATGTATATAATACTGTAATGAAATCATGTAAACGCAACTGATGTGCATGTAAACGGGGAAAACTGGTTATTTTAAAGGGGTCATATGATGCGATTTCAATTTTTCCTTTCTCTTTGGAGTGTTACAAGCTCTTGGTGATAAAGAAGACTAAAGAAGACTAAAGTCTCAAATCCAAAGAGATATTCTTTATACAATAATGTACAGTATGTGGAAAATAATGTGTTTTTTGATCCTTAAACCATAAACATTTCATTAAACCAAATACACAAAATAATGTTCTTTTTAGCAGCATCATATGACCACTTTAATAAGCTGCTATTTGTGAGTTATCAGCTTACTGGTGTGCATGTAAACGTGCTCATTGTCACTCCACACTCCAGTTCAGTTGTCGCTGCTGTAATGGAGGGATCCGGGGAAGAGTTCATGAAATACCGCTCACCGCTGGTGTCCCGGTACGCCAGCAAAGAGATGGCCTACAACTTCAGTGACAGAAACAAATTCACCACATGGAGAAGACTGTGGCTTTACCTCGCTAAGGCCGAAAAGGTCAGTTTATTTATTTTGCGTTCATTTTTATAGACTAAGTTACTTGTAGATTAATTTAGTTGGTATTGTGATTCTCTGAATGCCAAGTGCGACTCTGTCTGAAGTGTTTGACCTTGAGTGAGTGGAAGTCTCAAGTTGCCAACTCTCGTAGTCTAAAAATAGTTTGAAAGGGTGGACATGAGTTCTGCTGTAATATTTAATGTTTTACAAGTGGACCAGACTGCCCATACAAAGTACTGTGGTACCATATATAGTACATTGATGGTATTTGGTGGTAGTATTAAAGTGCTGAAATGTATGTGCCATGCTATAAAGGTTTTCCGAGAATACCACAGTACTGTACTGTACACGAACAAACAACAACAGCACCCTGATACTCTTTGTAAGTGGTGGCTATATCATGTTATGTTTATTTGCACTTAACGTTACATGCTATTTGTATTTGCATTTATATCTTTCTATTTTACCCCTAGAAACTGATTCTCAATACGTCTTGTGAATGTAGCTCTGTATGTGTCAGGTTAATGTCACTGAATTTCTCAAACCATACATTCCTATTAAGCCATTTAGGAGATAACGTAGGGACTGGTATTAGAAGAAAACCCTCAAATTCAGATAACTGATATTGCTGAGACTAGCAATAGCTGACTTGATTAGAAATAGACATTATTGACTGGAGACCTGTGGAATTTGCTGGTTTAGCTGACATGATGGGTAGACTTTCATATTGTTTGTTTGATTTGTGTAAAGACATTAAGAACTAAGATTCTGTGATCACCCAGTAATCCATAAATAACAGGCCACAGGCCGTTTGATAGGCACTTAATTGAACACAGTCATGTGGTCACATGCTGGTCATTCTCTGATTTGTGGAGACAGACCGGATTCTGTTCGCTGCTCGTATGATCCATGCTCTGGAAATGAAGTCACGCCACAGAACTTGACTAATCTAGTCCTTGAGACACACTAAGGCACAAACAGTAGTAGACGGAAGCCTTGGGAAAGTGTGTGTGTGTGTGCGCGCGTTTCCAAAATAACTAATCTAAATGTCAGGGTAACAGGAGAGTGACTTTTGCAGGTTGACCTTTACCCTCTCTCTGTGTGTTGCTACAGATGAAGCGAAAATGCTTATTTCAGTTTACTGTAACACATTTGTAATGTTGCACTGATATTGCAAATTTGGCCAATATGATAAGTAAATAATTACTTTACAGTTTATTTGATATAAAAAAAGATATATAGGCTACAAGTGATTAAAATATACCATATTAAAATGAATATTTATTTTAAGATTTGCTACAAATTACATTTAACAGTCTTATTAAATAGCTTTTTTAAAGATTAACTTTACGTGAGTGTTAGATGATGTTTGTAGCTCAGAGGTGCGTGGGGCAAAAGAGAGGAGGGGGGGGGGCAAGGTCGGGAGGGAGTTCAGCTTCCTTAAGTTCTGTGGAGGTCACACCTCTCGGGGGTCAAAGAGCCAATGGTGACTTGCACTTTTGGAGGGAAAGTTTACGACTCTTTGTCTTAGAGCATGGTATTTTGCATATGTAATTTGATTGGGTGTTGATGCAAAAACTACTAAAGATTCGTAGAACACTAATATATTGCCTATGTACCAACATATAATATACACTCTCGTTTAGATCATCAGAAGACAAATTCAAAGAGACCAAACATGATATCGGTGGGGCTATATTAACTAGTGATCTATCATAACACACACACAAAACAGTATACAATTCAAAAGAAAATATACAAGAACAGTAATGGTATACACAATGTCCTGAGGAGATGTGTGTTCATTCAAAGAAAGGTTTTTCTATCCATTTCTATCCATTTATTTTATCCATGTCCATTTTTATGGGCGTTGTGTGTCTTTCCTAAGGGTAAATGAATTGTGAGTTTCTCTGCCCGCATTCCTTTGGGCAATAAAACCAGTGATATCAGCATTGGTTGCCATGGAACCAGAGGCCCGTTCTGCCTTTCTGAGGTGTTAGATGCATTTCGGGGGGAAGGGTCCATAGACCTTCATAGTTGGTTTGTTGACTGAGGGGTGTTACAGAGTATTTGTTAATATAACTAAAAAAATTGTTTAATGTAATAGAAATGAGATGCACAGTTAAATATTGATCATACTGAAAATATCTTTTGCTACTTCCGTTTCACCAAGGCTTCAATACATCTCTTCATCGCTGTAATGTCTTCTCTGCAGGAATTGGGTCTCCCCATAACCGATGCCCAAGTGAGTGAGATGGAGTCTCACTTGGAGGACATTGATTTCGTCATGGCTGCAGAGGAGGAGAGAAAGTTGAGGCATGATGTCATGGCTCACGTGCACACGTTTGCTCACTGCTGTCCCACCGCTGCTCCCATCATCGGTTTGTTGACTGAGGGGTGTTACAGAGTATTTGTTAATATAACTAAAAAAATTGTTTAATGTAATAGAAATGAGATGCACAGTTAAATATTGATCATACTGAAAATATCTTTTGCTACTTCCGTTTCACCAAGGCTTCAATACATCTCTTCATCGCTGTAATGTCTTCTCTGCAGGAATTGGGTCTCCCCATAACCGATGCCCAAGTGAGTGAGATGGAGTCTCACTTGGAGGACATTGATTTCGTCATGGCTGCAGAGGAGGAGAGGAAGTTGAGGCATGATGTCATGGCTCACGTGCACACGTTTGCTCACTGCTGTCCCACCGCTGCTCCCATCATCCACTTGGGCGCCACTTCCTGTTATGTGGGAGACAATACGGTGAGGCCAAAATATTACCATGTCAGTATCTTACTTTTGTTACTATTGATTGAACTCCATGGACTTCTGGAATTGTCTGAGCAGAATGGCTATAGAGGGAACATGAATTAAATCCATTTTTAATTTTATTGTTGCAATTAATAGCAGGGTATATATTAGCCACCATGAAAAATCCTCACAAGAACAGAATGTTGTTTTAAAGTCAAAATTTTATTTTAAAATGTTGAAAATTGTCTTATTAAATGTGTATGTGTGTTTAATCTGAAGGATCTGATAATGCTGCGTGATGGATTTGACATCCTGCTACCCAAGGTATCCTGCTACTTTCTAATATTTACCATGTCAATCAAAACAACTGATGCTTAGAAGTGCCATTTTAAAAATTAAATAAATTTGTACTGTATTCATGAGAAATGTTAATAATCACAGGTTCAGATTTGACAAATAAATAGATGTGTGTAAAACTGTTTAATTTATTTTCAAAAAAGTAGTTAAATGTAACGAGTATTAAATATATCATCACTTTTCAAATGGACAAATAAATGTTTAAAATATTATTCATTTACTTCAAGTTTAAAATTTTAATTAAATCCAATAATAAAATAACGCATTAATCATTAAGTCTTATTAAATGCAAATTTTACATTCAGTAAAACATTTGGTAATTCTAGTCCTTTGTTTTAATTTTAGTTTTGGATTTTTTTTATATTACTGTTTAGGTTTCCGTTATTTTTTATTTCAGATGGGTTATTTGCTTATTTTATTTCCAGTGCATAATTCCCATTCTCTGCAGTAAAGGTTCTCTCTCTTATAGCTGGCTCGTGTCATAGACAGGCTGGCTAACTTTGCAGAGAAATATGCTGACCTGCCGACTTTAGGCTTCACCCATTATCAGTGAGTGAATTCAGAGTTCAGTGCATGTACTAGACCTCACAAACAAATAGTTAGATGTTAGACATTAAAGCATGTTTAGAGTGTGCATATAAAATTAACTTTTCTACCGTTTTGTTTTCTTTCTCCTTGTCTTCTATTCTTGTCATCTCTGACACGTCCCAATCACCCTTAAACGTTCACTCTTAATGTTGTAACCTGCACAACATTATGATTTTTCATGTTCTTTTGAACTTTTCTTCATTCAAAACAACAATACTAGGCTGGTTTTGGGTTTTATTGTCCCTCTCCTCGTCCCCATCTTTTTCTCAGACCAGCTCAGCTGACTACAGTCGGGAAGCGTGCTTGTCTGTGGCTGCAGGATCTGGTCATGGACACACGTAATCTTCAGCGTGCAAGAGAGGACCTGCGCTTCCGGGGTGTCAAAGGAACCACAGGCACTCAGGCCAGCTTCCTGCAGCTCTTTCAGGGGGATCATGAGAAGGTGAATGCAGCAGCATGAACATTTTATGCCTCAACACTGGCTTACTTCATACTTGTCTCCAGCATACATACTATATACACTACCGTTCCAAAGTTTGTGGTAAGTACTTTAAAAAAAAAATATATATATATATATATTTAAAATAAGTTAATCCTTTAATTCAGCAAGGTTGCATTAAATCGATTACAAGTGACAATAAACACTTTTTTATTGTTACAAAAATATTCTGTTTCAAATGAATGCTGTTTATTTGAACTTTGTTTATTAAAAATCCTGAAAAAAGCAAATCAAGGTTTCCACAAAAAATATTAAAGGGTTAGTTCACCCAAAAATGAAAATTCTGTCATTAATTACTCACCCTTGTGTCGTTTCTAACCCGTAAGACCTCCGTTCATCTTCGGAACACAAATTAAGATATATTTGATGGAATCGGAGAGCTTTCTGTCCCTGCATAGACAGCAACGCAACTGAAATGTTCCCAAGTCCAGAAATGTAGCAAGGAGATCTGTAATACTTGTTGTGTGCAAAAGAAAAAAAACAAAAAAACTTTATTCAACAATTCGTCTCCTCCGCATCACCCTGGTGCCATTTTGGAGGATATCCGCTGGACGTAAACAGCGTATGCTGTTCTGTGTCAGCTGCGTCACATGGATACTCTGTTTCTGTTCAGATCAAATCACAACAACGTAGGAAACGGATCCGGCGTGATCTGTGAATTGTTGAATAAAGTCTTTTTTTTTTTTCTTTTGCGCACAAAAAGTATTCTTGTAGCTTTTGACACTGAACTAAGGGCTGGTGAAAATTCAGCTTTGCATCACAGCAATAAATTACGTTTTACAATATATTCAAATAGAAAACCATTCTTTTAAATTGTAATAATATTTCATAATATTGGTGTTTTTACTCTATTTTTTTGGATCAAATACATGCAGCCTTGATGAGTATAAGACTTCTGACCTTAAACTTTTTTTTCTTTGTTGTAATGAATACAATTTTAAGTTAAAATTAAACTCTTATGGGTTTTATGTAGCTTTAAAACAATTGTGGAATGTGCAGTTTTGTAGCCTGAAGAGAAAAATGGCAAAAACATCATATCATTGTGGTTTACGCTATAGTTGAACTGACGTTGTTAATTTGGACTGTTTTCTCTGTTAGGTGGAAGAGTTGGATTGGAAGGTCACTGAGATGGCTGGTTTTAAAAAGTACGCTCTTGTTATTTACTTTCTGCGTTCTTTGTTTACTAAATGCTTCAAACAGCTTCTAAATGCTATTATTCAATAGTGTGTTGTTTAGTGGTCGACCGATATGGGTTTTTTGACAGCCGATGCCGATATCTTGGAAAGCAGGGAGGCCGATGGCCGATATCATTTTATTTTAATTTATATTTAAGAAATTTGAAATCATTTGAAAATGGATTAAAAATAATTGTGTAAAATAAACATACTTATACTTTAGAAGACAAAGCATTTTTCACAAATAAATAAATATTTAATAAAAATCTAATTAAAAAGGAAGTAAACACTGTAACCAACAGGGCACTCAGTATTCTGGGAAGTTTGTGTGCATTGGGAATCATATATATATTTTTTCAAATAAAGCCAAGGTAACACTCATTTTACATAGAGCACACAGTGAAAATGAAATGAATATGACAGTGGGCAAATGCATAAAGCGCAGCATAATTTGAAATCACTAACTTAGTTTAAAGTTTGTCGATCGCGCGTCTCCAGTGAAGCTGAACTCTCCTCCTGTCAGCATTCAATTAGCATGGATCGACCGTCACACAGAGAACACGCGATCATGCAGGATACACATGCACACTTCACAAGATCTCACAACTGGATCCGACTAAGTTTGCAAGGTTTGTGAAATTAAATGTTCATTAGTCATTCAAAGATTTGTTTAAATGATATAAATGCGTATTTGCTGAATGCTGACGGCAAATGAGAAAGTATTATAATGTTTGCCTTTCTATTACTAATAATATTAAAGCAATCGTTATAATACTTTTTTGTATACATTTTAATTCCTTTGTTTAACAGTTCTATCTGATTATTAGACAGACTTCTAGCCGTATTAGACAGAACTGAACAACGACAGCGAAGAAGAGGGAGAATGTGAGCGGTGTGTTCAGGCGCTGCCGTTCTCAGCGACGTCAAAATAAAAGTCCCACCTCGAACACATCGGCCAAACAGAAAGACTTATCGGCCGATGCCGATATTTGAAAAATGCCAAATATTGGCTGATATATCGGCCTTGGCGATATATCGGTTGACCACTCGTGTTGTTGGCTACATAGTATATGATTTTATGTGCACATGGTTAATCATTTCCTCCTCCATTTTTTCTTTAGATCATACCTGGTGACGGGTCAGACGTACAGCCGTAAGGTGGATATCGACACACTCTGTGTGCTGGCCAGCCTCGGAGCCACAGTACACAAGGTCAGACATGAACAGTGAACACCGCTTTATGCATTTATAAATGAGCTGCTGTAACAGTCTACAATGATCACAGAACAGCAAAAAACATCAGTTGTTTGATTAGAACAACCTCCTTTCCGCAATCATGATTTATTTATTTTTTGCTTTAGATTTGCACTGATATCCGTCTGTTGGCTAATCTGAAAGAGATCGAGGAGCCATTTGAGAAAGAGCAGATTGGTGAGTTTTTGAATTTTGATCATATAATAATTCAGCCTCTTTGATGCGTCATGTTTTTCTCTGTCTGTAGGTTCCAGTGCCATGCCGTACAAGAGAAACCCCATGCGTGCTGAGCGCTGCTGTAGTCTTGCTCGTCACCTGATGGCGCTGGTGTCGGACCCTCTGCAGACAGCATCAGTGCAGTGGCTGGAAAGAACCCTGGACGACAGCGCTAACAGGCACTGTTATCAAATCTGTTGTCTGACCATATGAAGTGGCACTGCACTGTTTTAACTCTTTGAAGATGTAACTTTTGGACTCATTCTTTCACCAGCTTACTGTGTCAGATTTTCTTTGTGTGTGTATTCAGGAGGATCTCATTGCCCGAGTCCTTCCTCACAGCGGACATCATCCTCAGCACTCTGCAGAACATCACTGAAGGGCTGGTCGTGTATCCTAAGGTGTGTGTGTGTGTGTGTGTGTGTGTGTGTGTGTGTGTGCGCGCACACCGATCTCTTTTCAACAAATATTTAAAAGTTTTTATTAGGGCTGGCAATTATTTGGTATATTTTAGTCAAATGAACTACATGGTATGCTGGTTACTTGGTCAAATAATTCACAATTAATTGCATAAACACTACTGTTCAAATGTTTTGGGTTGGCTTTTCTTTTAAGATTTTTTTTTTAAGTCATAAGGCTGCATTTATTTCAGGGGTGGCCAACATCAGGCCTGCAGAGTTTTGCGCTAACCCTATTTAAACATACCTGAACAAGCTCATCAAGAGTTTTTATCAAGGTTGGAGCAAAACACTGCAGGACTGTGGCTCTCCAGGACCGATGTTTTATTTGATAAAAATACAGTAAAAACAGTAACTGTTTTATATTTTAATATATTCTAAATGTAATTTATTCCTGTGATGGCAAAGCTCAATTTTCAGCAGAAATAATTCTATTTGGTGCTCAAGAAACATTCATATTAATATGAATGTTGAAAACAGTTTTTGTGGAAAACGTGGCACTTTTTTTTCAAGATTTTTTAATTAATAGAACATTTGAAATGTAAATCTTTTGTTACATTATAAATGTCTTTACTGTTACTTTTAATCAGTTTACTGCCTTTGCTGAGAAAAAGTATTAATTTCTTAAAAAAACAAGCAAAAAACCCCCCAAAAACTAAATCATACTAACACCAGATGTTTGAATGATAGTGTAAGTCATAAGTCTACATCACAAGTTTACATACTGCTCATAAGTCTACATATCATATAAATTATATATGAGCAATATCACATGAGTGTCTTACAAGCTGATATTAAAGGGTTAGTTCACCCAAAAATGAAAAATCTGTCATTAATTACTCACCCTCGTGTTGTTCCAAACCCGTAAGACCTTCGTTCATCTTCGGAACACAATTTAAGATATTTTTGATGAAATTTGAGGGCTCTCTGACCTTCCC